AAGCATAAGGTACTTACTTCTGGTAGAAAACCACTGAAAACTGAGTGCAACGCACAGCAGAAAAGAAAGAACTCTTCCAGGTACATATACATGTCAAAAGCTAATGGGCGACTTACATTATAGTTTTATTTATAAGTTTACCTGTATCATCAGTTTAGAGCTCTAGGCAAAGCTAATTTTGTACAGAAAAAAATTGGACCCAAGTGAAGCAGAGGTATTCTGCTGGCCGGGAGCAGACAGAAAAGGCTGAAACAGATCCCACATCTCAAAGACAATCACCCTTCATTCTTCAGCCAAATCCAAATCATTGGCTATTCAAGATCAAAATTAAAGAGTTTCCTAATAACATTTAAACAGTGAAAATGCTGTGTGTCTATGTAACTAAAAGGAAGAACTTCTAGACTTTTTTAAGGTGAAAGAATTTCCCTAAGGGAATGAGAATGGGAAATGTCTATCCAAGAAACAAAATATCACTTGAACATTTGCAAGTTATTACAATGGAAGTTAAAGTATTTGAAACAGACCTGTTCTGTTAACACAGCAGTGCTATTGTTCACAAAAAAGGCCAAAAGATTCCACTTGCACTAACTTTCTTCTCCCAAGTCTCCCCCAACCATCTTCAATATCCTAATACATCTTTGATATTTGACTCTACTACACATCCTCCTCTTTGTGAAATAACTCCCTATGAGGTCTTGGTCTTTCTTTGCAAAGTATGATGATAGTGGGAAATAGAAATTTCAAGTCTCTGAGCCTTTTTCTAAAGATGGGTAGTACTAAAAAATTCCACCTGACGCTTCTTATTTGAGGTGAGCCAAGCTAGCTCTGCGGTGTCTAGCAACTGCTTTCCAGTTGATGGACAAAGAAAGTTATATGTCAAAATTAAAAAAAAATTAAAATCCCATCTGAAAAATGACAGAAGCCAAAGAGGTCCTAGGAAAATACTTTTCACAAGAATTGTAATGTTCATGTTGCATTTTCAAGCAACAAGAACATATGCTGAGGTCACAGGTTTCATCTGCACAAGGAAATCAGAAACAAAAGCCTGAATAATCACAGCTCCAGAAAGTTATGCACTCAAGAGATATTCTGAGTCTTAAATTCATTCAAAAGATTTTACCCATACTTTACAGACATGGCCCTAGCATGCATCATGACTGCTCATATGGCAGAATCTTGGGCTAGTACCAGTTTTGGTGGAGGGATGAGTTATTTATGGAAGAAAATATTCTTTTCAATCATAAATTATTCTCGTGGACTTCTCAGAGTCTTGGAATATTAGCACCAGGAGAAAAGGCAACAATGATTGCACAAATTATTCATACAAAGACTCTGATATTAAACTAGACACATATTTAAAGACTGTCAGTGAGAAAGTTTATTGATCAGTAAGTGGAACAATTCATAAGAAAATGCTGCCTACTGATGTCTATTTACTGCACTGCATGTAACTGATATGATCAGCTCAGATTAAGGCAGGTGCATTGACACAGCAGAATACACAGGCTCTCCATACCACACCTTTCCGCCTCAGCTTGGGAGCATGATGATTTCAGTCCTATAAACATGCAATGCCTCCAAAAACCTACTTCTTACCCTGGTCAAAGAAGCACAGGCACTGACAAAGCCATATTTTATAAACTACTGAAAGACACCCTTCCCCCAAAGACCAGAATCCACTGTCCTCCACCTTTTTCTTAGACAAACTGTTGAGAGCTCAGCCAGGCAGATGCTTTAACACAAGAGGCAGTCTGCAAGCACTAGAAGATGTACACCTTGACCCAAAGTCCTAAGAATATATCCTTTCATTTTTCTAATTGTCATAGCATTAGAAGATTAAATTTGTGCGGCATTTTCTGGAAACTAACAGATCATCTAATTTCCAAAGATTGTATACTGTTATTTGCTACCATTATCACTTGAGGAAAATCTGCCACTTGCAGCATAAGAGAACACAGACATAGTCAACTCAAACAAAGACAAAAACCTCATAGAAAATGCATCATCCTCATATGTGGAAGAAATTAAAATAGAAAAGTTTCTGATCCACAAAGCTGGCACAAGCTATATTAGAGATTTCTGTCTCATCTAGAGGGTTCCTGCAGTTGGGAAAACAAAAGGACCCACCTTGAACTGTGGAGAATGGAATGAGTAGAAGAACTTACTGAAATATGAGAAAAATCCAGCACAGATTTGTTATTTATAAAAGTGTAAGGAGTGGTAAATAGTATAAATTTGTACCTGCATAAGCTTAGCAACTGAACAATAAAAGAGTATGAGCACAATTTTTAAACAGATTATTAACAGAAAATTCCTTCAACAATATAGTTTAAATACAATCACGACAGAGTATTATGGGACTTGTGCTTCTCTTTGCAACAGCTAAAATAATACAAGCAAGTCTGTGCAAAGACAACTGAGTGTATCACCTCAGTTCCAGGCCCTCCTTCTAGACAATGAGAAATGTACTGATGATTCGTAAAACAACACTTCCCCCCTAATACAGAGGAACACCCTTTGTAATGGAAAATTCATTCTAACATTTTCAAGCTAATAGTTTGTTTTCTTCAACATTAGCATTGTTGGACTCTGGCTCCAGAACTGAATTTCATCCAGCTGAAATAAGGTCAAAATCAGTATTCCTACTGCACAAGGGAAGTTTAAATCCTGCTGGAAAAAAACAGAAAAAAAAATGTACTGTTAACTTCTTTTGGTATGGGAAAAAAAAAGACAACGTAAAAAAATACTATGAATATTTTAGTTCTTAAACACTAACTTCAAAAACAGTGAAAAATTCACAAGTTAACGCCACCTTGACACATGAAGGTTTGGATTACACATATTCCTTGCATTAACTACTTGAATACTAGTTACATGCTAACAGCTACTATGCACCTGTTATTAATGCTCAGTTGTAGACATATGGGAGAAAACTTTCATATAAATATTAAGAATGTCCAAAAGGTTATCTCTTCTAAAAGGATGAAACCAATCCCATGTTAGCCCTTTTCCTCACTATTGTGCATGTCCACACTGCATGTTGAATATAATAATAAGTCTACTGTTAAAAGATAGTGCTTAAACTACACTGATACCTATAGTCTGTGTGCCATGCTCCCTAGCTGGAAAATTCACATGAACTATATTGCTACCGTCCCCATAAGGCTCTATTTGCCAAACCTAGTGTTTTAAGAGTGAGACAGGCAGATAAAAGTCTGTGTCAATTTACACTAACAGAAGGACAAATTTCAAAGGTCTTAATGCTACGCCACTCAAATCATGTAAGTTTTTCTGCTAATTTCACAAAAAGCAAGTCTGCATGCATTGCTGTTACATGAACAAAATAGTTCTGCCAATGTAAGGACTCAGTCTCTGTCCCTTACAGCCTGCAGAACTTGCTCACTGTTAAATGCTATATTGGGATTAACCAGAACAGCCCACTGTAAATTGGTTGGTTTGTTTGTTTTTAATTTAAACAAGGTGTGAAAGCTTGCATTATTACTGAGAAAGCTCTGAGAAATGTCCACTTCAAAAAATTGTGGACAGTAAGGGAGCAACAGTGAGATGTTGGTAAGATAGATGTACCAGTAACAGCCTCATGATGCTCCCTTCGGTAAAGGAAGTCACTTAATGGTGATGCATAACAAAGGCAATTTTTTGCATCTGGAAGCAAGTTAAGTTTCATAATTTCTCCTCAAACCTGGAAAAAGTCTTTAAAACAATACATCTAACCGGAAAAAACACCATGCATCCCAAAGAGAATAATTTCTCATCATGCCAATATTCCATAAGAGCATTCCACAGTTTGTGGGTTAATGAAAAGTTATTACACTGGAAGACTTTTACAGCTCCAACAGAATTTGGCGGAACAATTGCAGATGCTGGGTTCTTATGCCTTGGAGGGACACAATTTTATACAGGATATATTCAACCAACAGCAACACTCAGTGTAGCCAGTGAAATGCTAGATATAGGTTGTGTAAACCATAAGAAACTAAGAGACATTTAATTCTAGAAGGGCACACCTGCATCTAAATGAAACTATAGAAAACACATTATCACAAATTTCAGCTGCTATTACATTGTACTAAAGTATCTTTAGTACTATAACAACTGGTGTAACACGAGCACCTACTACACGAAACTTGCAAGAAGTAAACATTTCTCATAAGAAGCTTAAAAGACATTAGAGCTTCAACATCTCTGAAACCTCATTCCAGTTAGACACCTTAGAGAGGAAAGATGCTGGTAAGGAGGTCTTGCGAAATCTTGAGGTGCTCCTTCAAACCAGAGATCATGTGAAACAATTACTGGTTTGCATTCTAACATGTATTTTGCCTAAGTCTACAACCATACTTAAAATCTTACAAAAAAAAAAATACTGAGGCAGGACAGGAAACAGTTCGTAGTCTGAATACCATCACCTGCCATCCCTCATCTTATTTAGAATTGTGTTGAGATCGAGCGTTTTCTGACAGCGACATGACACGAAGCCGCACACTGCCGCAGCCTGCCTCCCCTCCCGCAGCCGCAGCCCTGCGTCCGTCCCCGCTCCGACCGACCTCGCCGCACAAGTTTACGGGGAAAGGGGCAGTATGTGGCATTTAGATCCTAGGCGAGGTTTACTGCTCGGGCTGCTACCCCAGTCCGGCGGTACAGGAACAGGCTCCCTTCCCTCCCCGACCCCAGGCACAGCCGCGCACTCCGCGCCCGCCGCCCCACAGCCGCTCACGGCGCGGGGCCGCCGGAGCCGCGTCCCGCCGGCGCCTCTGCCCGCACCTGCCCCGCTGGCTCCCACCCACTCCCACAGGCAGTGCAAGGCGGCGCGGCGAGGGACGGGCACGGAGCCCCGCGGCAGCGCGGTAAGGGATCTCCGCGGAGCCCCGCGGCAGCACGGCCGGGGCGCGCCGCCTCCCCAGAGCGTGGAGCGCTGAACCGCGCCGAGCGCTTCGCCTTCCCGGCGCAGGGCGGCCGCGGGGCGGGCAGCCGGGAGCACCCACCGGGGATGGCCAGGTTGGTGAGCGGAGTGCTGTGGAGGCTGCCCGGCAGCGCTGCCATCCAGTCGGCGAAGAGCAGCTCGTTCTTCCCCTGCGACGAAGCCATGCTGCCGCCGCAGCTGTACCGCCGCCGCCGCTCGCTCCAACTCGCCCAGTCCCGGCCACGGCCACCGCCACCGCCACAGCCCCGCCGAGCCCGGGCCCCGCCCGCCTGGCACCGCCTCCCCCCGCCCCGCCGAGCCCCCGCCACCTCCCCGCGGCGCGGCGTGAGAGCCCTCGGGGCCGGCACCGAGCGTGGCGCGAGCGGACGGCACCGTCGGGCTCGGCCCGGACACTCGGTGCGCGATCCCGCCCCAAGTACCGCGGGGGTCCGGGGAGCGAGCGGCGTCACAGCCCGGTCGTGGCGGGTCCGCACCGCCCCGGCCCCGGGCCCAGCGCCCCGGCCCGGCCCGGGAGCCTCAGCAGAGCCCGCCCCGGGAGCGTGGTCTGTGCCTGGGATGGCGGTCGGGGCCCCGGCTGGTGGCCCTCGGCCTCAGCAGAACCTCCCTGACCTTGGCGATGGTTCGGCTGAACGCCCCGCGCCGGGATCTGGCATCCCTCGCAGGCGGCTCCCGGGCAGTTTCATCTGCCCTTGATACGAACGTCTCTGTTTGCAATGTGTTGTTCATACGAAAAAAAATCGGTGCACCTTAGTTGAACATGCCCTGCAGATCGAATTTTTTGGCAATAATTTTTTAATGATCCAAAGTAGTATCTTCTATTACCATCTCCAGCCTGTCTTTGGAGAAACATCTTAGCGTTGGCAGTAAGGAAGCATTTGCGTGGTTGCCTCAGGATGGATGGATGAATGAACCTTATAAAGCTCTGTGAGCCATTTTGAACTGTTAGAACAAACGTGGCCTTTTCACCTTCAGCATTACCCATTTTTGTGGAAGTTGTTTATACGTGTGTAGAAGTTCATATGGTAGAGCTGTCAAAAACAGTGCCTAGAGAGAGCCATGACTGAGGCAGGTTCACTTTATCAGTTCACCTTGAATTCTTATGAGGGTCAGCTCTGGTTCTGTAGCTTGTGTTTTTACTCAAACCCTTCTATAACAGCTGAGTTTGAAAATAAAACTTAAGGGAACAACTAATAATCGCCCTCCCTTCACTTTCTGTCTAAAGTTTCCAGAGCAAGTATGATGAGAAACTCATCCTTTGGCCGTGAAAAGTGAGTGACTATTTCTGAGATATTTAAATAAAAGAAATTTTGCTGACTCACTTTTTGCAATAGAAATAGCTCTTGAGGAGAGATTTGACTGGGGAAATGTGATCATATGTTTGACCTTGGGGGAGATGTTGAGTCTGATTTGAACAATACATGAAAAAGGGAGAGGCGAAAGCAAACAGCCACCAAGGCCTGTCAAGTTTTTGCAGTCCTGCTTCCTGTGTATGAAGCTGCTAATCTGCCCTTTCCAAAATGACTGGTATTAGCAAGCATGAAAAAAAAGACAGATCCACATTCTGGATATGAAGACATAAGCCTCACTAAAAACATGGAAGATACTACTTACATAAAGGTGGAAGGTGTTACATTACATCATCTTCAGAAAATGGAAGAAATTTTAGTAAAAATTTCAAGATTTTTAAAGAGCATTTCAGTAAGGGGCAATTAATATTTCAAACAACATGATTAAATCAAATTAGATATTTTATTTAAGGGGTAAAATTGTTTATGAATTGCACTGGTCACCTGGAAAATTGCTGATGAACTTTCATCCATTTCACTATGTAGCCTACCTTTTCTGAGACAAAACTGAAGTAATCTTTTTGAAAGATTAAACATGTTGTTCATGCTGTTGTTGATCTCTTATGGTCTCTGAAGCTTGGGGATAGCTCAGAGCAAAATAAAACAAATACCAGCAAACTCATCACTTTAAAATGTATTAATATGTATAATGTCTAAAACTACCTTTCAGTAGTGCTTTCTACTCTAATGAAGACCTGTAAATATCCCTTTCTGTACTGACTAGAAACCTGTTGGTATTTGCTTCTGCAAGTAATTTGGGCTTTTATATCTTCTTTTTTTTTAACACCCGAAGTATTATTCCTCATAGTCTGGATTTTAAAACCATGGATACTGTGCTTCATGAAAACTGGCCCACTCTAACATGTCTCCCACAAATCATGCTTGAAGAGGTCTGCCTCTATTTCTAGTGCAATGTAACTGCTACAATAGCAGGCTTAAAATCTGTCATTGAGTCTCTGTGGACTTGGGAATCACAGGCTTAAATCACAGGCTGAATTTGAAGTGAGGTGGGATAGGAAAGGAGACTTTTATGGGACAGAATGTGAGAAACATTTATAGAGCAAACTAAGAAACACTGACTTGGAAGCTTTGATATCAAATAAAAAGGGGGGTTTTTTAGCTTTTCAGTGGTATGAAAAACATTTTTTTATCTGCTTGGGAGTTGTTTAATAAAAAAAAGGCAAACCATTTATCTTGATTAAAGAGCATTTTATTGTGGTTTAGTTTGAACCTGTTATTTGACTCATTTTCACTGATTTATAAACAATGATAGCCTGTAAATCAAAGGCAGAACATCCATACAAGCTTTTGTTCCTATTTAAAAACAGTAAGAAACCAAAAAGAAAATCACATGTTTGGCTATATTTTTGAAATCCTTACACATAGCAAGTCTGAACTGTTAAAGAAAGTAGATTCCAGGAATGAAATTATTTAAAACCTTGAAAATACCAGGTAAAATAAAATTAAAAGCAAAAAACAAGAAAATACCATTTTTGCTTTTTTATTCACAGCTATGCTGAGCTCACTGAAGATGCCATGAAGAGACGGAAAATTGAAATTGTGCTATCTGTTCATCATGTACTGTGTTCTCCCCAGTCTGCAGTGTGTATGAATAGAGACACCTCTGCTTCCATGGAATGGAATAGAGTAATTTAGCCAATAGGAATGTTGCTTCAGCATTCAAAACTAATTACACTATTTAAAAAGACTTCCTGTTGTTTTTATTCTCCTAAAAAAATAGCATTTTTACACTATACATTCACTGTTACACTTTTTCATTTTAGCAATCACACAGTTTGCTTTTTCATATGTCCTTGGCATCTGTTTTAATCGTGTGAATAACAAAGGACTAACAGGATCTTTTTGTGTAAGTTACACAAAGTACATTCCACTCTGAAAGGTAAAAGAAAAAATTACTTAATGGGGCATTGTATTTCTGTGACTATCCTATTATATAGAAAAATTATTTATCTACTTTAAATATATTGTTAATGAATTCAAAATAAGTCTTGGAACTGAAGAATTAGTATTGTTTAAATAATTGAACTTTTTCAGTGGATTCTGCTTCTGAGGTTGGTTTCTTCCTCCTTCTTACTACCCATTTCTATTATTAGAAGTTTTTCAGAACAAATCCTGGCTGCCATCCCATGTTTGCATCTCTCATGGCTTTCAGTGACTCTATCAGTAACACTTGGGCAGTAAAGCCTTTCCAGTTGTTTGCAACTGAGTTGCTAATTATATTTTTGTTCTTGGAAAGGCAGTGGATCCACGATTTTCTCAATTTTGCTACTTCTCATGGCTAACAAGTATAATAAGTGGGACAAGTACTTAAAGTCTCAAAGAGTCAAAGTAGATTGAATGAGATAATTTATTCAATAGTTATATGGGTGAATAGAGGTTGTTACAGGTATTTTTTTGTCATTTTTTACTTTGTGTGGCTACTTTGAGAATCTCATCCTGCATTCATTAAGCAATCTCTGTTTAGCAGTATTTGTTTTTTTAAAACAGATTACAAAATTCCTCAGTAGTCAGAAACCTTGTAGAAACAGGAAAATAGTATTTTTTTCGTTTTGTCTGAAAGAATAAATCTGTTTCTGATTTTCAATCAGAAGAAAATGTGGTTTATTCTGTACTCTGATTCGTTATTCTCTACTGAGAAAACTGAAGCATCCTTGCTTGTGCCAGTAATGAATCAGAGAAGAAACAATATTTGTTCCAAGCAGCTGACAAATTTCAGGATGATGCTAATGTTATCCCTACTCTCTTGTGGTAAATTACACTGACTGGCACAGTGGTGGGTTAATACAAAGGTACAACACATGTTTTTACTTGCATACTTTATAATCAAAGCAAAGACATTAAAAAATATACAGAAAATTAAATAAGGTGTATAACAAGACAGTTTGTTATAGTTGACCAAATTCTGGAAGCTTGAAATAAAGAAGATAAACGGCAAATTAGAGTCTTTGTATCCAATCCTCATGTGGAAATCAATTTCACCTTAGATACTTATTTCTGAATAGTGTTTATCAGGTTTCTAGAAGAAGGTTTGTTTTGTCTTTTTTAACATTTTCAAGCAGAATCCTGCTATGTCTCAGCGAGCATCAAAGCACACCACTGGCTACTTTTTTACCTGGTTAAAATCAAGGTGGTTTGGTTTTGTTGGCATTACTGAAAAGACTCTAATGGCATTATCAAGAACAGCAGTGGCAGAGCATGAAAAACCCTATTTTCTCAAAGCCAGTGCTATCAGATCACAGCAAAGTATGCAAATTTGGTGCAGGGAAGGGTGAGATAGAGATTGCTTTTTATTTCTAGACCAACTTGACCATGTTTAAAAGCCTCTGTAGAAGCTCATGAACATTTTGTCATGAATAAGTGTTTCTGAGACTTGAAGGCCCCACGTTTGGCATGGTAAGGAATTTGCAGGGAAAGCTTGATTCAAGAATTTGAATGTGAGCTCATTCTCTAGGTAGAAAACTGTTGTTTTATTAAAAACAAAAGGAAAATGAGATAGTTTAGTGGTGGGCTTACCACAGGCAATGCAGAAAGAAGCATCAGTACTGAACATAATCTTTGTAGCCTCCCAAACGCAGTGTTGGCATGGTCACAAAAGACCTTATCAACATGAAAATATCTAACTTCAGTTAAAAAAGAGAAAGCTTGAAAGACCCAAAACAACCTCCCCTCTGCTATGTTTCCCAGCCCTGTCAAAAAGGAATGAGAAGGTTTTGAGGCAGTTAGATACTCCATGACTCTACTTAGTTTTGTCAGACAATACAGCCCTTTGCATGAATACAAAATTTTGAACAGTTTAACTAAAAGTTTCACTAAAAAGTAATAATAGACAAAACATTC